ATTATCTCTTTCAAATTTTGGCCGCCTCTACGGCTCAGATGGTCCATCTGTGGAGTCCAATTTTCGATGACTCGTTCCAGCATTTCGACTGGTAACTGGCGAATGACACGCGTGATATTTTGCTACAATGCCTAAATCGAAGCGGGATTGCACATAGACTCTGGACTTTACATATCCCCACAGGAAAAAGTCTAACGATATGATATCACACGATCTTGGTGGCCAATCGACCTGCCCAAAACGTGAAATTATCTGCTCACCGAAGTGTTTTCTCAATAAATCCATAGATTGATGCGATGTGTGGGAAGTGGCACCTTCTTGTTGAAACCAAATGTCGCCGAGATCACGATCTTCAATTTCAGGCATGAAATAGTCGGTTATCATGGCGCGAGTGACGGTTACGTTCTAATCGGCATCATTTTTGAAGAAATATGGACCGATGATTCCACCAGTCCAAATACTAACCCAAACCGTTTTTTCTGGATTAAATGGCAGCTCTTGAATATTTTTAGGTTGATCTTTGTCTCAAATGCGGCAAGTTTGCTTGTTTACATACCCATTGAGCCAGAAATAAGCCTCATTGCTGAACAAAATTTGGCTCGAAAACGTCGGATCTTCTTGGAACTTTTCAAACGCCCATAGAGCGAAACGATGTCGCTTGGGAAGTCGCTGTACTTTGTACGCTGTCAACTTAAGATCCCGACGTAAAATGCGCCAAGTCGTTCCATACGTCAGTCCGAGTTGCTACGAAGGGCACCAAATTTACTCTCCACGGTCTTCGTGTACACTCTCAGCTAAGGCCGCGAGAAACACATTCTTTACAGAATGTGAATTTTCGTAATAAAGTTGAACAATTTGTAAACGTTGTTCAGGCGTAAGTTTTTTCATGATGAAATGCCAAATAATATTACAGCTTGACACGACACACCCGTAATCTGTAAAAAAAAGGCTATTGAAAAAAGTATCTCTACTTGGATACTCGTTATATAGGTATGTTCCAAATTTTCGATTATATAGAGTTTAGTAATAGAATTTCATTTTTTTTTTGTTTGTATTAAACTGAAGGCTTTGTTTAACATACCATAGTTAAAATGATCCGATTTAGATCAAATATTCACCGTTTTATTCGATAGCTTGTTGCCATTTTGAGTGGAATTTCATAATGCCAAGAATGGTAGAAACCCTCTTCTCTATTGAAAAAAAATTAGAAACAAACGATTTTCACAAGCTTCTCTAGAGGCGAATTTTTCACCAGCAAATCACTCTTTGGCAAATGGACAGGAACAGGTAGTAATCACTTGATGATAGGTTCAGATATAAGGTGGATGTATAAGAACCTAACAGCCAAGCTCCCGGAGCGTCTCGCGAGTCACTATCGATGTGTGTGGACTAGCGTTGTCTTGATGAAACACAATTCCTCTCATATTGGCTTTCCATTTTTAGGCGATTGCTTCCTTAAGACGGTCCACTTGTTGACCGTACAAGTCCGAATTAAGAATTTGGCCGCAAATTCCACTAACCATGTATCAAAACCTTCCTGACCGTTTATCTGGGCTTGACCACCTTTTGCTCCTACTCACAGCGATTCAAACACGACACTTGAATTTATCGTAAATGTCTCCCTTTTTATCATCAATAACCATTCGCATAAGAAATGGATTGATTTTGTTGCGATTCGCATGTGGGACTATGAGGTTTTTTCGGTTATTCGTACTTAACGAATCCAAACAGTTTCTGTGCAGTGCTTAGTTCCCGGGCAATCGAAACAATGTTTTGCATAATCGATGTTTTAACGATATTGTCGACTTCTTCGTACAACTTATAATTTAGTTGTCCACTTTTTATTTCGCTTTAAAATAAGCCACAGTCTTGATGATTACTTTCACATGATCTATCCAGTAAGTATTCGCCTGAGGTCCAAGAACTGAAAAAAGTTACTGGTGCCAGATCCGGAGAATACGGTTGATGCAAAAGCAATTCATGGCCCAAATCAGGCAATTTTGCTATCGATTGTGAGCTTTCGTGGCCCCCTTTTTGTACAATACTTTCGCCTGCCCAAATATTTAGGTGAATTCGATGGTTAGGTCCAACTACGATAAGAAAGCATCCTCTCATAGAAACGATACAAGCTTTCCAACGTTGCTGGTGTTATTTGGTGATTAAATAGGTATTTTTTAAACATTATGTTATACCGTTGTTGTTCCTTTAATAGATTTTACTCCTCATCAGCTTATCCGAAAGACATTTGGAGGTTTACTGTCGACATTTCGAAACACTACGTGAAATCGATTGCATTTCTAGACTGATGTCTTCTCAAATAGGGCTAGTTATCATTCTCAGTGGACGAAATCCTTAGCAACTATGTAATTAATGGACGCATTAGATAGACCGATGTAGTTCTTCGCAGCTTGTACCCTTGTCTTGGACAATAATCCATGTCAAATTTCGAGAAAAAAATTTTTTTCATACAAGAACTTGATTTTGATCTATCAGTTTGTATGGCAGCTACATGCTGTAGTAGTCCAATATCGGCGGTTCCGACAAACGAGATTATCGATAACTCGATAAATAAAACGAATAAGCCATCGAACTCAATGAATTTAATTGTAAATTCGTGTTTTTTTAAACTCCTCACACTTTGTAACTGAAAACAAGACCCTGAAAAAAGGGCAAATAAATTGAGCCATTTGCGAATATAATATAATATAAACGGTTAAATGTATGTGTGTACCTTTATTATTCGTTAAAATTAAGTTTACGGGAGTCACTGTCCGTGACGCATTCAAATTACTTGTAATCGGCCAGCGTTTTAAGTGTTTATTTGCACTTTTTGTTTATTTGCATTTTTCAAGAATACGCAGTATAATTTACCTTTTTGGGTTAAATATTATTTTCTTGATTTTTTTTTTAGATTTTTGCAAGTGATGAGATGCTGTTGAAGAGCTACATATATATATTTTTGTTAAACAAAATTTTTTCAGTTTAATTTTTTTTATTTCTTTATTTTAGTGACCTCTGCAATCAGCGCTGGTTTTTTCTGCTTAAATATGACTAATTGATGCCATTGCTCTTTGTTGGAAACTTTATTTGCTTGCTGATTCTTGTAGCCGGTTTCAAATCTTCCGAATTCTTTCCACTTGTGTTTTGCATGTTTTACACTTTCTTTGATTTCTACCTCTTGGTTTTGGTTCTGCTATTTATACATATGTACACATGTGGTATATAATCACCCTTTGTTTACCTGGAAATAATCGCGAAAAATTAACACACACATACATACTGCGGTTATATTTATGTGTGCAAATCAATTTGCTCTGGAGAGAATTGTAATTATCTGTTTAATTCAATCTTTCATACATATTTACATGTCAATGATTATCGCCGAAAGCGGGAACTGCAAAGTCAATTTGCCAATTGAGGTTATGCGGTATTTGTACTTTTCTGTGGTATGGACTTTTTGGGTAAGAAGGGAAAACTTTTGATATGATATTTCAAATAAAAATTAAACAAAAATTAATATGTGTTAATAATTTCAATTACCGTAAATCTAGGATTATTTAACAGGCAGGCTGAAAAGCGGGGTTGCGAATTTTATAAAAAAAAAAATTAATTAATAATTGAATAATATTTTTGATTGAAAAATTTAAAGTTTTATAAAATTTGAATATTTTATTACAGATTTAGAATTTAATTAAAATTAAAAAAATTTAAAACATTTAAAATTTTTTTTAAAGTAAAATTTTATTAAAAATTTAAAACTTAATTAAATTTAAAATTTAGTATTTAATTAAAAATGTAGTTTTTTAATAAAACTTTTAAAACTTGTTTTTCTAAAAAAATTGAGAAAAAATAAAAAAAATCAACTCTAAATTAAAATGTAATTTTTAATCCCTAGATCATAATTAGAAATTGGAAATTTAATTTTTGATCCAAAAATCAGAAATAAAAACTGTTAAAATATTTTAAAATTAAAAAATTTAAGTAAGAAATAATAAAAATAAAAAATAAAAGATATACAAAAAGTGTTAAACTTTGTTGAGATTTTTTTGTAAGTTTTCCTTTTACAAAAATTACCAAAATGGTAGAACACGAAGTACGAAAGTGTGAAATATGAAATTTAAAATTCATAAACTCAATTTTTATTTTATAAACTTGGGATTGACATTTTTTTTTTTTCCAATCTGGTATTTAGGCTGAAATTTTTACTGCTTAATTCGATTTTTAGATTAAAAATTCAATTTTAATTTAACAATTCGGTATTTAGAAGTAGAAAAAAATTTAAGTAATATTTGTTATAAACTGGGGATTTAAATTTCTTTCAATTCGGTATTGTTAATTAAATTTTCATTTAAATTTATGACCGAAATTTATTTTTTAATTTCCAATCCGTTGTTTAGGGTAGAAATTTGTAAATTATTTTTTTTAAGATTTTCAGGAATGCAAATTTAAACAAAAACTTAACTTAAATGTTAATTAAATTGTATTTTTATTGCATTATTTGCAACCGTGTTGAAAAGTGTTTTTGTCATTTTAAAGAAAAAAACTTTATTTGGCCAAATACTTAAATTTTGTTTAAAATATATATCGATATTTTTAAAAAATTTTATTTGAAAAACAGATTATGAGGAATTCAAAATTTTTATTTATTTATTTATGTATATGTATATATGAAAAAATAATTTTTTTAGTCACAATTATAGCAATAATAGTCGTGATATTAAATAAATATAACTTTTAACTAAATATTCTTCACCCAAGACATTTTTTAGTCACGATAATATTTTCACACAAAAAATTAGTAGGAATTTAAGTACTGCATAAAAGCCGTTTTTTTTAATACAAAAATGGTATCAGTCTCTTAAACACTTTTTATATATTTAAAACTATAATTTCAGACTTTTTTAATTAAATTTTTTTATAGGTGTGCTATTTCATAAATATATTATCGGGTCTTAATTTTTATTATTGTATTTTTTTGAAAATATTCGTGAAAAATTACAAAAATTTACAAAACGTTGTTAATACATAACAATATATGTACATATGCATATGTGGAATAAAATGTGAATTTAAACAACCAAAAGTATCAAACCACCATCAGTCTTTATTAGTATCTGGCATATAAGTATCTATATTTTTATTATAATTCATAAAGGTGAAAATCTTGTTATATCATTAATATATCTCTCTTAAATACATTTGAACAACTTAAAAAAAAGCAATATTATTATTACATTCCACACCGCCGCATTCACATTGCATATCTTGCTGACGCAATCCACACGTGGCAAAATACACATTCAATTTGACAGCTGCGTAATTGTGAAATTCATTGTGAACGAGTGTTGCTTATATTTCATACGGTTATGCGTGTTTGTAATTTTACTGAAGGAAAATCAACGAAAATTTAAGAAAATATTCATAAACAAAAGCGAAATTATGTGTGCTTCTAAATTGGATGAAGCGCTAGCTGATTGTGTAATAAATTTCGACAAACGCGTGTTGCTAACGGATTTAATAAATGAGTATCACATGCCAATTGTTGAAATTAGCTGTACGCTGACAAAATATTTAAAGCAACAAGAGGAGAAAGGTATCAAATACGAAAAGCGGTTTGTTGTCCATGGCCTTGAAAAGGAAGAAGTCAATAAAGAGATATTTACTATCGTGAAAGGTGAAGCAAAGCTAAATGAATGGTTAAGTAAATTTAAAGATGCCGAGTCTGCACTTTACTCCGTTGAGATAGCCGGTGGCGCGAAAGCGCCTGCTGACGAGTTAAAACCGGTAACATGGTGCGCTATTAAAATAGAGGATTTACAAATGCGTATGAGTGTCCCTAAACAAATGAATGGCAATGCTGCAAAGGTGGCTATTAACGCACCCGTTAGAGTGGAAAGTAAAGCAGATCTTAAACAGCCGAAAGGAATTGCGAGCGCTTTTGCCAAAAATAAACCAAGAAACATTACAGATAGTAGCACTTCCATAAATGTTAAAAAACAAGGTGAGAGCACATCTGAAACTAAAGCAGCGGCAACAGCTAAAACATCACCCCAAGATAAAACAAAAAACGAATTGGATGCTATCAAGAAGTCACCACAGAAAACATACGAACAGAAAGAAGTTTCGCCAAAAGACAAAAAAGCAGCCGCGGAAATTAGTGGTAAAAAAGGTATTAGTAACTTTTTTGCGCCCAAAGGTAAAAATACTGCAGAAAATACGGGTAAAGCCGCTACTGGTGTCATTCGTCAAAAGTCGCCCAAGAAATTGAATGACTTCTTTAAAAAGCAAACTGATGCCAAGGAAAAAATCAAAAAAGAAGCAGAAAAAGCCAATACTTCAGCACAACTATTCGACGAAAAAGATGAGGATGAGCAGAAGGAGGACAGTAAAATTCGAGTGGACGAAGAGGCACCAGTTGAGGTGCACGTAGAATCCTCTGACGAAGAAGAAGAGATCAATAAGTTGCGACGCAAAGTGATAGAAGCCGAAAAGGCAGAATCAGCTACAAGCAGTCGAAAACGTTTGCGCATCGAAGACTCGGATGAAGATGAAGAGAATGAAGTGGCAGAAGAAGGGCAACCACAGCCAAAGCAAGGCAAAATCGATGTAGAAGAAGTGACTGAGATAGCTGCTACACCGCCAAAATCAGAAACATACTTGGATGAGGATGGTTTTGTCATTACAATTAAGTCTAAAACTCATGCGAAACCATCAGCTGCAGCTGCACGCCAAAGAACACCAAAGAAGACAAGCCCGAAGGAAAGCAAATCTAAGCCAACACCACCCGCCAAGACGAAGCAGGGCAACATCATGAATTTCTTTAAAAAGAAGTAGTTGTTGAAAATCTCAGAATTATGAAATTTAATATATAAGAATTTTATCTCTATTGAATAAAATATTGTTACAAAATGAAATTTATTTTTTATATAATTATTCCGTGCCAAAATATGAAACGAAGTACACAAACTTGTTTGTCTATCGGCAATCGATAATTTCACCCCATAAATATTAGCTGTTTAATATTAATTTAAAAGTGTTAACATAGTATATTTTAAATTTTACAGGTGTACTTTCTTATAGCAATACTTTATATTACATATATGCTGGCAAGCTGTACACTCTTGCTGCCTTCCTACACGAAACGCGTAACTACTAGTCCTCCACTGCCGCACTAAACACACACAAAAATGGTGCGCTTCGAGCCTTTAGGTCAAAAAATGTTCACACGCCGCAATTGGCTGCTACGTTGCAGTATATTGATCAACATCCTGGTCATACTCTACATATGCAGTCATGTTATGATTGGCAATGGCACCGGTTTTAATGGCAGCAACACTTTCTTCATACAGGAACACGGTGTGGATACAGCGAATAGCGTAAGTAACTCATATAAAGCCTAATAGATGTATGTAGATATGCAGAAATGTATAAATTTAATATAATTGTAGGCACAATTGATAGGTGACAAAATACAACCGCCCCCGCCACCGCCACCGCCACCTGCATCAAACGATCTATCACTACCACCACTATCACCCAACGATTCCGGTAGTGCTGCGGCGGCGGCGCCTGCTACAGCTGTTGACGCAGCAGCAGCAGCGCCCACTCAAAATCAAGGCGGTAGCGTTGTGGCGGGGAATATTGGTGGTGTTGCTAACGTAGGCGAAGCCGCTGTATACACAAATAATTCTGTAAACGATGGCGAACCGGCTGTCGCTGAAGAAAAAGATCCAGAAATACGGCTAGAAACACTCTTAAATTGCTATAATCGCGACTTCAAGCCAGAGGTCTTGCAACGTGGCGATTTCTGGGTACTCAAGAATTACGTTCGCGCCGATCATGGTCCGCTCAAGTGCTCCGAATCGATCACTTATACAACGCATGCGGATTACACATTTTTAGATAATCTCATACCGCTACTGGAGCGGTGAGTACAACTTAAATGTGACTTGTATTGCAATCAAACATTATTTTCATTTGTTTTTATGTAGTTGGAATGCTCCCGTTAGCATTGCGATGCACACACCGGGCACTGATTACCAACCGACCATTGACGCCATTAAGTACCTGCGTGAATGCCTACCGGAAAGTCCATTGGTGCGCACATTTACCACATTCCATCTTTACTTTAGCACGAAACACATACCTAAACAGGTGGCGAAGCAATCGGAAGTGCTGAAAACGCCCTACAATTGCACGCTGCCGCCACCCTATTTCAATGTCAGTTCCGGCCATTTATATAAGTCACAAAAAAAATTATTATATCCGGTGAATGTGGGTCGTAATATAGCGCGCGATGCTGCCTTAACACATTTCATATTAGCCTCAGATATTGAATTGTATCCAAATCCCGGGTTGGTAAGGAAATTCCTCGAGATGATTGCGCGCAACGACGCGTATCTGCAACGCAAAGCGCCGAGGTACAAGCAACTAAATATTTTACCATAGTACTTTATTTCTATAATTTGCATTGTTTTTAGGGTATTTCCGCTCTCCATCTTCGAAGTGGAAGCCAATGCAACTGTGCCACGCGACAAAACGGAGTTGCAAGAATATTTACGCACCGGCAAAGCGATACCCTTCCATAAGCGCGTGTGCGCCAGTTGTCACGGCGTGCCACAGTCTAAGGAGTGGATGGCCGCCAATGAAACCGATGAGCTGAGCGTTTTCCACATTGGCAAGCGTACGGGCTATTTCAGGCATTGGGAGCCTATCTATATTGGCACACATGCCGATCCGCACTATGACGAGCGATTGAGCTGGGAGGGCAAAAGTGATAAAATGACGCAGGTGAGTTTGAGTGTAGCAAATGTAGTCAATAAAAAAAATTTTAATTAGTTTTTTTTTAGTAATTTAAAAAAAATAAATTTAAGAAATTGAAAAATAATTCAAAAGTATTTAAAAAAAACTTGAAACAAACAAAATTTTAAATTATAAAAAATGGAAAAAAATATTAAAAAAAAATAAAATAAAACAAACATAAAAAAAAAATTTAAAAAATAAAACAAAAATTAAAAAAAATAGATAAACACATAATTAAAAAAAATTTAACTTAATTTAATTTTCTATTTTTTTACAGGGTTATGCGCTCTGCGTTTTAGACTACGAGTTCCACATACTCGACAATGCTTTCCTCGTGCACAAACCGGGCATTAAAGTGCTGCAAAAAGATAATCGTCGCGCTATGTTGGCGGGCAAGACGAATCAACTTATACGTAAAATCATCTATCCGGAATTGAAGATAATGTATGGTGTACGTCAAGGCTGCGTTGTATAGTAACTAATAAATTGGCAAAAAAGTTGAAAAACTTTTTTAAGCTATAATAAGCATGGAATTAAAAGACTACTACTACAATTCAAAATACTACTTTTTTAAGACGTAGCGCACAGCTACAGCGAAACATTAACGATATGCTGTTGAAAGAAGTATATATGTATGTAAAATATATATGTATATTGATATAATAAATTATTTGCCAGCAATGCATAGTTGCAATTATGTTTAGTAAATACTAACTAATATCGTCGATTTGAGCCAACACGCACTGTAAATGATTTTTTAGTAGTTTATTTTGATTTTAATTTCATTTTTATTTTTTTGTTTAAATATGCAAAGAATAATCTCAAAAATATTTTTGTAACGTAAATGTAGGTATTAATTAAAAATTGTCACAAAATTAAAAGTATACTATAAACGAATGATATTATTATAAAAAAAAAAAATATTGTAAAATGTGAAAGTTCGAAATTTGTTTTTTGTGAGTAAATTAAAATAAAATTGTGTATAATGGGAAAGTTCGAAATATATTTTTTTGTGAGTCAATTGAAAAAAAATTATAAAACATGAAAGTTCGAATTTTTTTTTTTGTTTACAAATTGAACCAAATATTGTAAAATGTGAAAGGTAGAAAAATTGTTTTCTTTGAAAAAAAACGCCTTACATATATTCAAAATGTGTTTTGGAAATTTGTAATAAGTGATTTGAAGATAAAAAAAACAAAAATGCGTTAAAACAATAAGATTAGTGAAAAACTTAGATATTTTTGTATTGTTAATTAATTAGTAGTAAGTTTAACGAATATATACAGCAAAAAAAATACGCGTTGAAATTTGAAACGCGTAATAGTCACACACAAAATAATTTGAAGCATACTTTTAAGCGCCAAAAATGAAATTTGTTAAACACTTAAAGTGTATACAAAGTACCACACGCGTTTACATAACTTTTCGTATGTACATATATACTTTTGTATTTTCGCAAAAATTTCTCTACTTTGTTTTTGTGTTAAATAAAATAAGGTAAATAATTAAATAGTTGATTTAATAAATTTGCTTTTAGTCCATTTTAATTCCTTTACTAATACTTTTGTGTTTTAAATGGCTATTTCTTTGTAGTTCATCTAGCAATTATAAGCAAACTATTTTTAAAAATATTTCTAAAACTTTTTGTTTAAATTTTTTATTCAGCCACTTAAAGGGAAATTCTATACGCTTTTGTTCCAAACAGAAAATAAAAATAATTTGTATTAATTAAAACCACTTAAAAGTGCTAAAATGCTATATCATCCGTCTTCGTTTCGCAATTTTGTTTAATTCGTTTGATTTGAATTCATTTGTGAGCAAAAAAAAAAAAATGAATGCAAAAGAATTAAAAATTACACAGTTGAATTTAATACAAAGGGAGTTGTCGTAACCGCAAAGAAGCGTGGAATAACCTACAATTTTCTAGCCCTGTTTGCTTATGCCATTTACAATTTTTATACCAGTTTTTGTTCGTTTCACCATTTGAAATTTTTTTGGCAAAACGCAGTAAACTGATATCGCAGAATTAAGCCAGTTTTGTTTTCGATTCACTGCTCTCAAATTTTTTTGCCAAAACGTAGCGAACTCGTTCGTCCGTTTCGCCACTATCAAATTTGTTTGGCAAACGCAGCCTGCTGAATCCACATTAATATTACAGTTTGTTGTTGTTGTAGCGGCAGAAAACACTTCTAAGGTAATTTCGAGGAATGGCGCCGAATTGACAGTCCTTGGCCAGATAAAAATCCGGGCCCGGTCCGGTTACTTAGACTCGACTCGGTAGAACAGCTTGCTATAATATATTAGTTTCTGGGAAATTAAAGTCATCAGTCATTAGAAAAAATACGTGGTAAATAACCTTAAGTTATTCTAACCCAACTTGCTTGTGCCTGCTTATGCTGTTTATAACATTTGCTTGTTCTATTCGCCACTCTCTGTTTTCTTTTGACGAAACGAAGCCAACTGCTATCATTTTAAAGTGGTATAACAACTTGCTAAATTATACCAATTTTTACACCGGTTTTTTGTTTGTTCCACCACACTAAAAACTTTTGTTTGTTTCCACCAAATAAAATTCAGCCACTTGAATCCAAATCAAAGATAACGGTATAATCGCTTGCTATAATATAGCAGTTTTAATACCAGTCATTAGAAAATGCACGAAGTAATTAATAAATTTCGGTAAAAGAATATTTGAATTTTTTAGAATTTTTCAAAAGTCAAAATTTAGAAAAACAAAATGCGTTAAACAGACTTCCACTTAATTTCCATCATAAACTCTTCACTAACTGCAACAAATGTCTGCCAATTAATATATAAATTCGTCATTTTGTAATTTTATTTTTCACTACTGACACAAACATTGACACTACACCCAATTTTTATGCCACAGTTACATAATTATTTTATTCAAATGTAAATTTTAGTTTTCAACTTTTATTTCAAGCATTTTACTACGTGGGTAAATGTGAAAAATGTAATAAATTAGTATAATAGCCTTTTGTAAGCGTAAGAACCGTGATATTTGAACTTTAGTAATTAAAAAGTGCATAAAAAACAATACAAAGTAAAGAAAATAATTACAAATACATTCAAACTTTTTTTGCAAACGCATAGTCACTAAGTTATATGAAGCAAAACTGCAATACTGATAAAAAAAATAAAAATAATAATAATATAAATTTGTAACACTTCAATACAAAGTGAGTAATTTAAGTTTTTGTATAAGTAATGCACATAAAACTAGCTCGCAGACTAGTTAAGTAGGCATAGAAGACAAGTTGATTAAAAACACAACAATAGCAACAGTGAAATATATCATAATTTAAAACTAATACAAAAAAAAAAAATTTAAAAAAATGCCAATTAAAAACTCCTTCAAAAAAATTAAATTTGCTGTAAAAACAAAAATAAAAAACTACTTATGTATGTATTATTAACGCACTAACAATACTACGGCATGTATATACTTAAGAGAAACCACTTTGAGTATTTAGTTTGCTATTGAAAAAAAATGCATTTTTATGATAAAAATTATTAAAAATAAAGTATTTAATATTTCAGTAGCGTAAAAGACTTCTTCAACTATAAACTACGCTACAACAAATAGGGAAAACTACAGATATTTGAGACCAGTGCACACTTAGTGTGTGTGTGTCGCCAGAAAGCCATGGTATTTTATAATATTTGCTGAATAAAAATTAATCGATATAATATATCCATTTTTTTAAAGAAAAAAGAATTTAGAAGCTATGCAATTGAAAGTATATTTAATATTAGTAATTATTAATTATGCATTAAAATTTGGATATTAAAAACAAAATTTAAAAATTAAAATTTTGCGATTTTACTATTTTTAAAAAATTAAACCTAGCCAAAAATTTTTGAAAAAAATCACAATTTTTTTACCAAATTTTGTTGACTTAAATTTATTAAGAAATTTTTGGGAAAAAATCAAAATTTTTTTAAGTTACAATTGTGGAAGTACATTTGAATAACATTTCCATTGCTTAAACAACATATCCTATATTTTCTTAACTATACCTATGTTTCATAAGTAAGTTTATAGTCTACTTTTTCCTATACAAAACTGAAGGTTTATAGTTTCTTATTTAAGTTCTCGCTTCCGTAACAAATCGCCAACTTCCTGCCATCAATAAGACATGAGTTTACTATTCTGTGAAATATATGTACATTATTACATACATATATTAAATTCATTAATAAATATTACTAAAAGTACTAAGTTTGACACTGAAAAAAAAAATCAATAAATTACTTATAATTAAAAATTCTGAAATATAAAAAACAAAAAAAAAAAAATAAATTAAGCTGAAATTAAAAATGTTGATACATGAAAAATAACTTAATCAATTAAATATAAAAAATATAACAAAATACTATAGTAAAAATATTAATAAAATAAATCTACATAAATACGAGGTATGTTCAAAGGAAAAGGTGAATTTAGATTTTTCGCGGGCTATGTACATTATATTATGGATAGTTTGTTTTTGTTATAATGGGACACATATGTTTATCATGTGCTTGCATTAGAAGCCTTTTTCGATTAGTAGTTTGTTTTTGACAACAGAAAAGGTTAGTCAGCTTTTGTGTTTTTTGATTTTTGAATTTTGAAAGAAATGGATAAAGAAATATGTATAAAATTTTGCAAAAAAATGGAGAAGATGTTGATGAAGTTTAGCATTCAGTTTTGGGCAAGAAACGTGTGGCAGCGAAGTTTGTTTCGAAATTGCTAAATTTTGAGCAAAAGCAATGTCGCATTAGTATCGCTCAGGAGTTGTTGAATGACGTCAACAAGGATCCGGGTTTTCGCAATCGGGTCATTACTCCTCCGTTCGACTTTTTCTTATTCCGAAAACTAAAGAAATCAATGAACGGAAATCGTTTTGCCACAATTGATGAGATCAAGTCAGAATCGAAGAAAAGAGCTGATGCCCATACCTAAAAGCGCATTTCAGAAGTGCGTCGAGGATTGGAAAAAACGTCGGCATGGGTGTATTATATCCGAGGGGATTACTTTGAAGGGGATAGATATTTATAAATAAATAAGTACTTTCAAAAAATTCACCTATTCCTTTGAACACACCTCGTATATAAACAAAAATAAATTAAATAAAAATAATAAAAAAATTTAAGTATAAACGATATAAAAATAAATAAAGATAATAATCTTAAAACAAAAACGAAAAAATATGATACCAAAAATATGTTGATATAAGGAATATGAAAAAAATTATAAAATAATATGATATAAAAATAATAAAGAAAACAAATTGTAAATGAAAAATATATGAAATAAGTACAGATAAAAAGTTAAAACAAAAAATGTATACATATAAAAAATTATGATAACAAAAATAAATAAATGGTAAAAAAGTATTGAAATGAAAAATATGAAAAAAGTAAAATATTTACTTTAGTAAAAAATGTATGAAGATAATAATAAATAGTTAAACAAAAAAAAAGAAGGAAAAAATATATAAAATAAATGAAGATAACACAACAAATATATAAATTGAAAAAACTATGATAACAAAAGCAATAATGTTGTAAAATAAAAAAGTATTGTATTATATAATATAAAAATTTATATATGTTAATTTATAAATAAATAAAATAATCAAATAAAGTAATAAAAGAAAAAATTAAGTGAAAAGAACATAAAATAAATAAAAATAAAATGTTAAGAAAAGTAAAATATAAGTTGGAAAAACATAATTACACAAACAAAAATTTTTGTTAAAATTGAAAAATATTATGAAGAACAAAACTGTAAAAATAAATAAATATGTTTAAATGTAAAAATCAAAATAAATAAAAAAAATACCATAAAATATATAAAAAATTAATACTAACAAAAAATGGATATAACGAAGACAGAATATAACAATATTATGTAATTAAAGAGATAAAAATTATTAAATATTTGTTTATGAACTAATATGAAACCAAATGTAGTAAACAAAATAAATAATTACAGACTAAATATGGAAATAAATAAATAAAAAATTGCAGAAAACTAAAAATAAAATATAATTAAATTTGAAAAATACATAAATTAATCAAATTAAAAGAATTTAATTAAATAAATTTAAAATATTTTTTAATTCAATTAAAAAAAATTAATATACTTAACAAGTAAGGAAAGTCTATGCTCGGATGCAACCGAACCATTTTCACTCTCGCAAAGTAAAGTGATACACGGGATTTTCGTATTTTAATTAAAAGCGGAAGTATTGCATTTATTATTTACATTCACAGACTCAAAGATACACTATATGAGAAAATCAGTAAGAATTTAAAATTTTTTTATATAGAAAGCAAGCGTGGTTGTCAACCGATTTCGCCCATTTCCATAGTGTACAATAGTATTAATTGGGTAACCTCACACACCACATTTGATTAAAAGTGGGCGGTGCCATGCTCGTTGTGCAATTTTTACACCAGCTACCATAAAATCTTTCTTTGTTGTGAAATGTAATGCTTCTGGCTCATTTAATTAGTAAGTTATCGCACTTTTAGTAAGTCTAGTTGGTCCTGGTTATCTGATTTTACTCATTTTCACAGTGTATGGAGAAATGCTAAAATTACTTCTTCTCAGACAGTTAACCAAACTAGGCTTCAGTAAATTAAAAGATTTGTACATTTGACTATTAAGAGGGCGAGGCCACGACCACTTAAAAAAATATTAAGCCCACATGTGCCTCTCAGTAATGTGATCACCTGTATCAAATTATAGTTTTGTATCTTAATTTAGTGCTGAGTTATGACACTTCATAGGTTTTCGTTTAATGGCGTTTTATGGGCGTGGCAGTGGTCTGATTACTCTCATCTCCTTCTTGGGTGCCTAGAAATATATGTACCAAGTTTCATCAAGATATCTCAATATTTACTCAAGTAACAGCTTGCACAGACGGACGGACGGATGGACAGACAATCACCCGGATTTTAACTCGTCTCTTCATCCTGATCATTTATATACATATTCATAAGTCCATGTCTATCTTAATTTGTTTAAGGTGATACAAACAACCGTTGGGTGAACAAAACTATTATACTCTGTGCAACATGTTGCGAGAGTTTAAAAAAGGATAAGAAAACTAAAAAGTGTTGAAAATTAAAATTTAATGAAGCCAAAAAATTCTATAAATAGAAAACAAGTAACGCACAAGAATAAATTCAGTAAAAATTAAAGAAGTACCTATATATATATATATTTTTCAATAAACAAAATCCAATGACAATTTATTAAAATAATAAAAAAATATAAATAATTAAATAAGCTACGATCAGAATTTTTTTTTTTTTTAAAGTAATGAAAAAAATATTTTTTTAAATTTAAATAAATAAAATAACTAAAAGTTATAAATATTTGAAACAATATAATACAATACAAATTATAATAAAAAAGAAATAATAATAATGAAAATTTACGAATAATTAAAAAAGTGCTACTATGAAAAAAAGAAACAAAAAAATTCTATAAATAAAAATAAACAATTAAACATTATGAGTAAAATTTTGTTATTGATATCAGAGAAAATAATCCAAAAATTAATATATAAAAAGTTTTTAGTTTGAATGAAAGTATTTATATGATAACTAAATGAAAAATTAAATAAAACCAAAAAAGCTTCTCTATAATAAAAAAGAAAACATTAAAAAATTAAAAAAATATAAATATATTAAAACCATTAAATTATTTAATTTTAAATTAAATTAAAATTAATATAATACAACAAAATTAAATAAAATCTAAAAATAAAACGTAAATAGTTTGCGAAATAGAAGTAAATAAATTTATGCTTGAAAACAAAATTAAGAAATAAAAAAAATTATAAAAATTAAAATGCTAATAAATGGTCTCATAAAATGAATATACTCTTAAATGAAAATAAAAATTAACCGCAATAATGTTAAATAAAAAAAGTCTTAAAAAATTTAAAAAAGTAAAATTAAAAGTAAAAACAAGAAAAATTTAAAATAAAGTAATAAATAAAGAAACGGACTTCGAAGTAAATATTCTAAAATTGAAATATTCAAATAAAATATTTTGTGTATCGAAAAATTTAATATAAATAAAAATAATATATAAAAAAATAGAATGAATTAAATAATTTAAAAATATTTTTAAAAAATAGCAACATACAACCTAAGATATAATAAAATTAAAAAAGATAGAAATAAATAATAAATAAACATAATTCAATGAGAAAGACAAAAACCAAAAAAAATTTAAAAAACGAAAACCTCTAAATTATAATTAATGAGTCAAAAACCAAAATATTTTGCATCAAAAACTGTATACAGAAACAGCAGGAATTCCTAAAAAAGGAAAACTATTTAATGTTCACATCTGAAAAAAATAAACAAAATAAATAGTGCAAAACGTAATACATATTGGAAAAATAATGCGTAGACCCAAAAAAGTCCCTGTTTTTAAAAATAAAACATTTTGTTTCAATTAAAATGCTGTCGATTGTTATAAGAAAAAGTTTGATAGTTATTTGCTAGTGAAAACAAATTTTATAATAGAAAATAGAAAAAAATAAAAATTAATAATATTAATAATAAATACAAATAGACTTTAGAAAAGGCAGTTGAGCTGCTTCCATAGCTAAAAATTAAAAAATTACATAAAATTTGAACAAAAGTTGTACACCTCAGGAGTGTATTACAACCAATAG